GGTGCTTTAGACCACTGAGCCATCTCTCCAGCCCCGACGTTTAATTATCCATACAATATTAGCACGAGCTTTTCAGTGAATTAAGAGAAAGTAATATAATTGTCTTTGTAAAAAATTTATGTATTTAGTACAGGATCTCACCACGCAGCTCGGACTTGTAGTGATCCTCCTGTTTTCAGCTTTCCCGGCACTGGGATTACAGGGGTGCCCCACCACACCCGGTCTCAGTGACCAGCTTAGCGTGCCGGGAGATGGGGCCAGCGCTGCATGCCGAGGATTGAATCCTGGTCCCTGCGCTTGCTGTCTGCAGCGCTATCTCGCCAGCCCTAATATAACTGTCTTGCCTGAGAGAGAGAGATATATATTCCTCTCCTCCTCTCTCCTGCCCCGGTTTCTTCTCCCCTTCCAACAGCTGCTTCCCATTGTACTCTTGGATTCTGAGGTTCTCCTTCAGTTTTCCACACCAGGGAAACTGTAATGTATCCACATGTGAGTCTGATTTATTTCACTTACCAGTCTGGTCTCCAGCTGTATCCATTCACTTATAAAAGTATTTATCCTTCTTTATGGCTGGGTAGTACTTCATTGTATAAAAATATCACATCGTGGGGACAGGCTCAGTAGGATAAGCGCTTCCCTGGCAAGCGCAAGGACTTGAGTTCAATCCTTGGTTCCGCCAAAGAAAAAAAACTCACATTTTTTAAAAAAAATTTTTATTTATTTATTTTTGTGTGTGTGTGTGTGTGTGTGGCAGCTCAGCCCACCAGGGGGCGGGGCTGGCTGGCATGTGGTGCTGGGGGAATGAACCGCGGTCCCTGTGCTTTGCTAAGCTTGTTCTAAATAGGTGCGTTAGACCACTGAGCCATCTCACCAGCCCTGTAATTTTGCTACTTGCCCCCACCCCCCCAACCAGGGATTGAACTCAGGCCCTTGCACTTGCCAAGGAAGTGCTTATTCCACTGAGCCATCTCCCTGGCCCAACTCACATGTTTTTTATGCATTCCTTGGCTGATGGGCATTTGGGTTGTCCCCAGGATTCAGCTATTACAAATTATGCGGCCGTAAATATAGGTGCACGGATATTGCTGTGGTGCAGTGCTTTTAATTTTTTTGTGGTGGGGGGGACTGGGAATCAAACTCAGGGCCCTGCGCCTGCCAGGTAAGCACAGTGCCACTGAGCTATATCCTTGGCCCCCGGACCTCTCATCCTAGCTTTTGGAAGAATCTCCATACTGATTTTCGCAGTGGCTGTACCAGTCACACTCCTCCCAGCAGGGGAGTGGTCCTTTTCCCCACGGCCCTGCCAGCGTTTGCTGCTGGTTGGCTTCTTGGTGATAGCCATTCTTTCTGGAGGGAGGTGGATCTCAGTGTTGTTTTCATTTGCATTTCTCAAATGACCAATGACTTCTTCATATATTTATTCTTTGTGCTAATCCCTGCGCAGGCAGATTTTGTCTTCTTGCAAATTTAAATGTTTCCATTTTAGTATTGGATGTGTGGTGCATTTCAGTTTTAGTTCAGTGCAGGGTGAGAGATATGGGTCTAGGTTTATTTAACTTTTGGCATGTGCCGAGCCAGTTTTTTTTTTTTTTTTTTTAATTTTATTTATTTGTGTGTGTGGCCAGCTCAGCCCACCAGGGGGCGGGGCCGGCTGGCATGTGGTGCTGGGGGATTGAACCGCTGTCCCTGTGCTTTGCTAAGCTTGTTCTAAGTGGGTGCTTTAGACCACTGAGCCATCTCACCAGCCCCACGGTGCCAGTTTTTTCAGCACCATTTATTTGTTTGTCTATTTATTTATTTTTTGCAGCACTGGGGATTGAACTCGGGATCTTACACTTGCCAGGCAAGTGCTTATGCTGCTGAACTATGTCCCCAGCCCGCCAGCACCATTTCTTCCAGTAGAGGTGTTTGACACCTTGTGAAAGATAAGGTGGTTGTGTTTGGACTTGCTTCTGCATCTCCTAATCTGTTCCATTGATCTACGGGCCTGTATTTTCAGTATGATTTGTAAAACAAAGACTTTAGCCACTATTAAGGAATAACGACCTAATTTGTAAAATTCACCTACTTAAAGTATACAGCAATTTTTTTAAAAGTAGGTTTTACAGGTTGTGCGGCTGTGGTCATAATCACTGTCAGATCAGATTCCTGACCACAGTAGGAGCTCTGTGACCATTTGCAGTTGATCCCCATTTCACACCCTCCATCCACGTGACCTCTGGTTTACTTGTAAGTCAGCCTTTTCCGGGCATTTAACAAAAGTGAAAACATCACGCTGTAGGGTCTCTGCACGTGGCTTCTTTCCTGTAGCATTTTAAGCTTCCTGGTAGCTATTAGTGCGCGTCAGCTCATTCCCTTCATTGCTGAAGTGTACTCTGTTGTAGGGATAGATCCCTTTTCTTTGGTCCATTCACAAGCTAGTGAACCTTGCTTGTTTTCATTTTTGCCTGCTGTGAGTAAGGGTGCTATGCAGACTTGGGTGCAAGACTGCTGGTGGATGGCTTTTCACTTTATATTATTTTATTATATTATTTTCACTTTATATTATATGTTATTAATTTATGGCATGTTCCTAGTAGCTAGAGATGGTGAACGTTTTTTTTATTTTATTGGCCATTTGTGCTTGTCTGTTCCAACCATTTGCCCGTTTATTGATCGGCTATTGTGGTCTTTCAGTGTTAATTTTTTTCAGTTCTTTGTATATCTTCGGCTTCAGTCCTCTGCCAGGAGAGTTGCTTGCCAGAGTGTTCCCCACTCAGTACGCTTTCTCCTTGCGCTGTTACTTCCCTGCTGTACCGACAGCTTTCACGGTGATGTGCAGTGTCCTGTGCTGATCCTTGCTAGTATTCCCGTCCTACTGGAATTGCTATCCAGGGAGATTTGCCTGTACCTGTGGCTTCAAGTGGTTGCCCTGTGTTTTCTTTTAGCAGTCTCAGAGTTTTAGGTCTCATATCGTAGTTCACTATCAGTTGATCTTTGTACTGAGTAACAGGGGAGGAAGGATCCAGTTCCCGTTGTCTCCAGATACATATTCGGGTTTTACAGACATATTTGCTAAAGAGGCTGTCGTTGCTCCTGTGTCTGTTTTGCCCAGAGTCATAGGGCTGTAGCTGGGTGGGTTTTCTGTGCCCTCTGCTCTGTCCCGTCGGTCCGTGTGTCTGTCTTTGTGCCAGTACCATGCTGTTTTTGTTCGTATGGTTTGTGGTATGATTTGAAATCAGCTACTGTGGAGCCTTCAGCTTTGCTCTTTTTGCTACGGGTTGCTTTGGCGATTCTGGGTTTTCTGTGTTTCCAGATGAATTTCACATACTTTTTTCTAGTTCTGTATTTCGATCGGGATTGCAGTGCCTGGGCAGGCCTTTCTGGCAGTGGGCCATTTAATTAGCAGTAGTCTGCTGACCGCGGTGGGGAGGCCTGTGTGACCTGTGGTGTCTTCATTTTCTTCTGTTCTACCTTCACCCTTCCTGGGTGAACTCCCCTTGGTGGTTTGTATGTTGAAGCTATTGCGAAGGGAGTTATTTCCAGTTTCCTTCTCTGCTAGCTCGTGGGTGTGAAGAACAGCTCTGAGGCTTTCTTGATGGAGCTGTGAGGGTCTTCTAGGCGGCGGTCACGTTATCTGCACACAAGGCAACTTAGCCTCTTCCTTTCCTACTTGTACCCCTCGCGTTTCTTGCTCTTGCCTACTTGGTCTGCCTACAGTCTGAAGTGCCACATTAAATACAAGCAGTGAGAGGGGCAACCTCGCCTCACTTCTGATTTAGAAGTGCTTTCGGTTTTTCTGCATCAGAATGATGTGGCTGTGGGTTTTTTCACAAGTGGTCTTTACTATGTTCGGTGTGGTCCTTCAATACCTTAGTTTCTTCAGGGCTTTCATTATGAAGAGAGATTGAATTTTTCAAAGATACTTTTCTGTATCACCTGAAATGTTTGATTTTTATTCTTAATTCTTGTTTATGTGATGTTCTGAGTTGAAAATTAAACCATGTTTATAGTCTGGGAACGAAGCCAGCTAGCTCATGTTGTATGATCCTTTTAATGTGTTGTTGAATTTGGTTGTATTAAGGATTTTCACATCTGTGTTTATCAAGGATATTGGTCTATGGTGTTTTTCTTTTTCTTTTTTCTTTTAAACTCTTTTAATTATTTATTTAATATTTATTTGTTTGTGTGTGTGTGTGTGTCTCCAGCTCAGCCCACCAGGGGGCGGGCTGGCTGGCATGCGGTGCTGGGGATTGAACCGCGGTCCCTGTGCTTTTAGTTTGTTCTAAGTAGGTGCTTTAGACCACCGAGCCATCCCACCAGCCCGATATGGTGTTTTTCTATGTTGTGTTCTTTTTTTTTTGCGGAACTGGGGATTGAACTCAGACCCTTGTGCTTGCCAGGCAAAATTTTATTCAACTGAGCCATCTCCCCGGCCCCCTCAATGTTGTGCTCTTGTCTGGGTTGGGTACCAGGACGATGTTGGCCTTGTAGAATGAATCTGAAAGTATTTTCCTTTTGATGGAGTAGTTGGAGCAGCACTGGTTCTCTAAAAGTCTGGTGAGGGGCCGAGGAGATGGCTCAGCCCGAGTTCAATCCCCAGATCCACAAAAGAGAAGCAAACCAACCTCTGGTGAAATTCAGCAGCAAACCTACCTGGTGCTGGGCTTTTCTTTGTTGAGAGACTTTTGGGGACGGTGAGGGGTGGGAGGTGAGGTGGGGTCTCACTACGGAGTGCAGGCTGGCCTTGAACTCTCTCCTGTAGCCCAGGCTTGCCTTGAGGCCACTGCGATGCTCCTGCCTGGGCCTCCCAGGTGCTGGGATTACAGGCGTGTGCCACCTCGCCCAGCCCTGGTGGGAGACTTTTTATTACTACTTACATCTCACTGCTACTGATTTGTTTAGGTTTTCTGTGCCCTCTTTGTTCCTTTTTGGTATTAATGTGTGACTAGAAATCCATCCCTTTCCTTTTTGTGTGTGTGCGGGGTCTTACTGCGCAGCTCGGACTTACAGTGATCCTCCTGTTTTCAGCCTCCCTACTGCTGGGATTGCAGGCATGCGCCACCACGCCTGGCCTTCGCGGCTGGCTTAGTGTGTGCGGGGGAGGGACTGGTGCGACCTGCGGTGCCAGATTCTGAACTCTGGCCCCGGCGCTTGCCTGAGCAAGTGCTGAGTCTGCTGAGCCATCTTGCTTCCCTTGTCCATTTCCTCAGAGTAGATTTTCACAGCACTAATGCTCCCCCTTTTCCTCTCCTCATACTGACTCGGGTCTCCTCTTTGTCTTGGTTTGGCTCAGGGCTTATCAGTCCTCATTAATCTTTCAAAGAACCAACTCTTTCATTGATCCTAAGCATTGTTTTAGAATATTTCATTAATTTCAGCTCTAATATTTCTTTTTCCGTTTTTTTAAACTTTATTTGGCACAGGGTCTATTTGGCAGCTGGGACTTAACAGTGATCTTCTCGTCTCAGCCTCCCAAGCGCTGGGATTACAGGTGTGCGCCACGCCCAGGCTCAGTCACCATCTCAGTGCATCTGGGGGGCAGGGCCAGCACAGCACACCAGGGATCGAACCCCGGCTGCTGCGCTGTGCCTACGCAGGTGCTTTAGTCCACTGAGCTGTGTGGCTGGCTGAGATTTCTGGGTTTTGTTGTTGTTGTTGTGTTGTTTTATTTGAGACAGGGTCTTGCTATGCAGTTTAGACTGGCTTTGAACTCATGTAGCCTAGGCTGTAGCAATCCTACCTTGGCCTCCCTGTGCTGGCATTACGGGTCTGTGCCACCATGCCCAGCAATCCTTTTTTTTTTTTTTTTTTTTTTGGTGGTACTGGGGATTCGATTCAGGACCCTGCGCTTGCCAGACAGGCACTTATTCCACTGAGCTATCTCCCTGGCCTCTGCCCAGCAATTCTAATCTTTTAATCTAGACGTTTGTAGCTACAAACATCCATCATGAGAACTCCCCCTGCCATACCCTAGAGATGCTGATGTATTTGCTGCCATTTTCACTTGATTCTCAGAATTTTTAAATCCCCCCTTTAATTTTTTCCAGTGACTCACTGATCAGTGGAAAGCAAATTGCTCAGTGTCCATGTGTTTGTAGAGGCCTCGTTTTGTTTTTTGGTAGAGTTTTTGTGTTATTTCTTGCTGTTGATTTCTCATTTTATTCTATTATGATGAGTTGCAAGAAATTATTTCAATTTATTATATCCGTTGGTGGTGCTTAGGGCCCAAAATGTGATGCATTTTGGAGACTGTTCCACGAGATTCCAAGCAGAATGCCTGTGCTGTAGTTACTGGATAGAGTATTTTGTTCATTAGATCTAAGCGAACATCTGCCCTTAGGTGTTGCCTAATGTCATTTCATTAATTTTCTGTCTGGATGTTCTGTCTGTTGGTGAGTGCGGAGTGCTGAAGTCGCACACTGCTGTGTGGGGGCCTGTGTGTCCCTTTACGTTGGGTGACGTTTAGGCACACCAGTGCTCGATGCACACGGGTTTGCAGCGTTACAGCTTCTTGGTCGCTTACTCCCTTCACCACTACGGAGGAGGCTTCTTGGCTGCTCTGGTGGATTTTGTCTGAAGCCTGCTTTGCAAGATGAGTACAGTCGCCCCTGTTGCTTCTGGGTTCTACTAGCATGGAACGTTGCTTTGAATCCTTTTTTTTTTTTTTTTTAATGTATTTGATAAAAATGCACCACCACACCCACTCTGCTTTGAATCTTTTTACTTTCTGTCTGTATGGTTTTACTAGTGAGGTGCATTTCTTGCAGGCAGCAAGCACTCGGGCATTGTTAATCCAGTCTCCTGGTGTGTGTCCGTTAATTGGTGAGGATCATTTACATTCAGAGTTATTATAGACAGGTATATACTACTTTCTATAGTTTGCTGTCTTCCTAATATTTGGCTTTTTTCTAACTCTCCGTAACTTATTCTTCTTCCTTTGTGTATAAAGAGCCCTTTAAGTATCTTTCGCAGTGCTGTGTTAGATAATTTCTTTATCTTATGCTTATCTGAAAGGTCTTTTTTTTTTTTCTTTAATTTGAATGATAGCTTTGCTGTATATAGTAATTTTAAGTTGACATTTTCTTTCAAGGCTTAAAATGCACCATTTTATATCCTCCTCACCTTTAGAGTTTCTTCAGGAAAGTCCACAGTTGTTCTGGTGGCTTGCCCCTGTAAGTGATGTGCCCTTTCTCTCTTGATGCTTTCAGGATCTTTTGTTTGTTCTGTGCTCTTGACATTTTAATGGC